CTGTTGTCATCAAAAATATTGTGTTACAGAAGTGAAAAAACAAATTTTTAATACTGGAGAAAATTTTGTAGATTACATATTTTTTCCGAGTTTCCATGGATGCATTCTCGTTATAGGCCCATTAATTCTATATTTTGGGGAGAGTGTCTCACACAGGATACACTTCATGGCGTCGTCCGGGAACTCTCAGAAGCACGGAGGCAGCGCCATGTCTACACTGCAGCCCTAGCAATCGGCCCACGAGTCGCATAACCACCAAGGTAATCAGATTATCAATTATGTAATCGCAATAGCAACAATTTTCCTACTTTTGAGAGGAGAATACAATTTATAATTTCAGAGATTCTGGTCTTGTGAACTACGATGTATGCGTACTATTTGTAACACAATATCGAGGGGTTCAATGCCGTATTATCTGGTCACGAAACATTTTTTCATTTTGCGGGTTTCAGAACTGATTTTTCAAGGCACACATTCATCCTAAACGTAACTTAAGCACGTCTTTGCGGGAAGCCAACAAACTCTACGGTCGTTTTAACATCACACACTGCCATTACAATTCTTGTTCTAAATATACGTGCCCTACAGTCTTCCTAATTAACCAATACCAGATTTGCTCTGTGAGAAATACATGTCCCCCCCCCCTTGTTTCTTTAGTTAGACACGTGATAAATTGTATCGGGGTTGGTTGAGGAAATTATGCAGCTCCAGGATTGTTCTTGAGGCCGGGCGATGCCCTTTCACGACTTTCATATGGCGTTTTCAGTATTTTTCATAACCGAAAGCAAATTGCTATTGGGGGTCTATACTAAATTTTTATAGCGAACGTAATTTTTATTCATGCACATACAATTAGTCTAAACCATGTTTTACGCGAAGCTCTGTCGAGGTTTTTTTTAACCAGTCACTGAAGAAGGTCTACAAGTTTTATTCGAAACATTTTTAACGCGGTGAATATTTAACTGCGTAGAAAACTTTTTTTTTTTACTTTATGCAGTGTGATTTCTGTTGTGCCGTTTTG